GGAGTGTTGGGGGGAGTGTGTGAGGGAGGATGGGGAGGGATGTCGAGGGGAATTTGTAGAGGAGGGGGAGGGGGTCCTATGGAATGAGGGACCTGTTGAGGAGAGGAGGAGAGGGTGTTGAGGGGAATTTGTGGCAGAGGATGGGGGGGTGTAGAGGGAATGGGGGTGTCATGGGGAGGATGAGGGTGTGGAAGGGAATTCGTGAGGGGAATGGGGGTGTCATGGGGAGGATGAGGGTGTGGAAGGGAATTCGTGAGGGGAATGGGGGTGTCATGGGGAGGATGAGGGTGTGGAAGGGAATTCGTGAGGGGAATGGGGGTGTCATGGGGAGGATGAGGGTGTGGAAGGGAATTCGTGAGGGGAATGGGGGTGTCATGGGGAGGATGAGGGTGTGGAAGGGAATTCGTGAGGGGAATGGGGGTGTCATGGGGAGGATGAGGGTGTGGAAGGGAATTCGTGAGGGGAATGGGGGTGTCATGGGGAGGATGAGGGTGTGGAAGGGAATTCGTGAGGGGAATGGGGGTGTCATGGGGAGGATGAGGGTGTGGAAGGGAATTCGTGAGGGGAATGGGGGTGTCATGGGGAGGATGAGGGTGTGGAAGGGAATTCGTGAGGGGAATGGGGGTGTCATGGGGAGGATGAGGGTGTGGAAGGGAATTCGTGAGGGGAATGGGGGTGTCATGGGGAGGATGAGGGTGTGGAAGGGAATTCGTGAGGGGAATGGGGGTGTCATGGGGAGGATGAGGGTGTGGAAGGGAATTCGTGAGGGGAATGGGGGTGTCATGGGGAGGATGAGGGTGTGGAAGGGAATTCGTGAGGGGAATGGGGGTGTCATGGGGAGGATGAGGGTGTGGAAGGGAATTCGTGAGGGGAATGGGGGTGTCATGGGGAGGATGAGGGTGTGGAAGGGAATTCGTGAGGGGAATGGGGGTGTCATGGGGAGGATGAGGGTGTGGAAGGGAATTCGTGAGGGGAATGGGGGTGTCATGGGGAGGATGAGGGTGTGGAAGGGAATTCGTGAGGGGAATGGGGGTGTCATGGGGAGGATGAGGGTGTGGAAGGGAATTCGTGAGGGGAATGGGGGTGTCATGGGGAGGATGAGGGTGTGGAAGGGAATTCGTGAGGGGAATGGGGGTGTCATGGGGAGGATGAGGGTGTGGAAGGGAATTCGTGAGGGGAATGGGGGTGTCATGGGGAGGATGAGGGTGTGGAAGGGAATTCGTGAGGGGAATGGGGGTGTCATGGGGAGGATGAGGGTGTGGAAGGGAATTCGTGAGGGGAATGGGGGTGTCATGGGGAGGATGAGGGTGTGGAAGGGAATTCGTGAGGGGAATGGGGGTGTCATGGGGAGGATGAGGGTGTGGAAGGGAATTCGTGAGGGGAATGGGGGTGTCATGGGGAGGATGAGGGTGTGGAAGGGAATTCGTGGTGGGAATGGGGGGTGTGGAGGGGAATTCGTGGGGGAATGGGGGTGTCATGGGGAGGATGAGGGTGTGGAAGGGAATTCGTGGTGGGTGAGGGGAATTCGTGGGGGGATGGGGGTGTCATGGGGAGGATGAGGGTGTGGAGGGGCAGATGGGGGAGTTGAGGGGAATTCGTGGGGGGATGGGGGTGTCATGGGGAGGATGAGGGTGTGGAGGGGCAGATGGGGGAGTTGAGGGGAATTCGTGGGGGGATGGGGGTGTCATGGGGAGGATGAGGGTGTGGAGGGGCAGATGGGGGAGTTGAGGGGAATTCGTGGGGGGATGGGGGTGTCATGGGGAGGATGAGGGTGTGGAGGGGCAGATGGGGGAGTTGAGGGGAATTCGTGGGGGGATGGGGGTGTCATGGGGAGGATGAGGGTGTGGAGGGGCAGATGGGGGAGTTGAGGGGAATTCGTGGGGGGATGGGGGTGTCATGGGGAGGATGAGGGTGTGGAGGGGCAGATGGGGGAGTTGAGGGGAATTCGTGGGGGGATGGGGGTGTCATGGGGAGGATGAGGGTGTGGAGGGGCAGATGGGGGAGTTGAGGGGAATTCGTGGGGGGATGGGGGTGTCATGGGGAGGATGAGGGTGTGGAGGGGCAGATGGGGGAGTTGAGGGGAATTCGTGGGGGGATGGGGGTGTCATGGGGAGGATGAGGGTGTGGAGGGGCAGATGGGGGAGTTGAGGGGAATTCGTGGGGGGATGGGGGTGTCATGGGGAGGATGAGGGTGTGGAGGGGCAGATGGGGGAGTTGAGGGGAATTCGTGGGGGGATGGGGGTGTCATGGGGAGGATGAGGGTGTGGAGGGGCAGATGGGGGAGTTGAGGGGAATTCGTGGGGGGATGGGGGTGTCATGGGGAGGATGAGGGTGTGGAGGGGCAGATGGGGGAGTTGAGGGGAATTCGTGGGGGGATGGGGGTGTCATGGGGAGGATGAGGGTGTGGAGGGGCAGATGGGGGAGTTGAGGGGAATTCGTGGGGGGATGGGGGTGTCATGGGGAGGATGAGGGTGTGGAGGGGCAGATGGGGGAGTTGAGGGGAATTCGTGGGGGGATGGGGGTGTCATGGGGAGGATGAGGGTGTGGAGGGGCAGATGGGGGAGTTGAGGGGAATTCGTGGGGGGATGGGGGTGTCATGGGGAGGATGAGGGTGTGGAGGGGCAGATGGGGGAGTTGAGGGGAATTCGTGGGGGGATGGGGGTGTCATGGGGAGGATGAGGGTGTGGAGGGGCAGATGGGGGAGTTGAGGGGAATTCGTGGGGGGATGGGGGTGTCATGGGGAGGATGAGGGTGTGGAGGGGCAGATGGGGGAGTTGAGGGGAATTCGTGGGGGGATGGGGGTGTCATGGGGAGGATGAGGGTGTGGAGGGGCAGATGGGGGAGTTGAGGGGAATTCGTGGGGGGATGGGGGTGTCATGGGGAGGATGAGGGTGTGGAGGGGCAGATGGGGGAGTTGAGGGGAATTCGTGGGGGGATGGGGGTGTCATGGGGAGGATGAGGGTGTGGAGGGGCAGATGGGGGAGTTGAGGGGAATTCGTGGGGGGATGGGGGTGTCATGGGGAGGATGAGGGTGTGGAGGGGCAGATGGGGGAGTTGAGGGGAATTCGTGGGGGGATGGGGGTGTCATGGGGAGGATGAGGGTGTGGAGGGGCAGATGGGGGAGTTGAGGGGAATTCGTGGGGGGATGGGGGTGTCATGGGGAGGATGAGGGTGTGGAGGGGCAGATGGGGGAGTTGAGGGGAATTCGTGGGGGGATGGGGGTGTCATGGGGAGGATGAGGGTGTGGAGGGGCAGATGGGGGAGTTGAGGGGAATTCGTGGGGGGATGGGGGTGTCATGGGGAGGATGAGGGTGTGGAGGGGCAGATGGGGGAGTTGAGGGGAATTCGTGGGGGGATGGGGGTGTCATGGGGAGGATGAGGGTGTGGAGGGGCAGATGGGGGAGTTGAGGGGAATTCGTGGGGGGATGGGGGTGTCATGGGGAGGATGAGGGTGTGGAGGGGCAGATGGGGGAGTTGAGGGGAATTCGTGGGGGGATGGGGGTGTCATGGGGAGGATGAGGGTGTGGAGGGGCAGATGGGGGAGTTGAGGGGAATTCGTGGGGGGATGGGGGTGTCATGGGGAGGATGAGGGTGTGGAGGGGCAGATGGGGGAGTTGAGGGGAATTCGTGGGGGGATGGGGGTGTCATGGGGAGGATGAGGGTGTGGAGGGGCAGATGGGGGAGTTGAGGGGAATTCGTGGGGGGATGGGGGTGTCATGGGGAGGATGAGGGTGTGGAGGGGCAGATGGGGGAGTTGAGGGGAATTCGTGGGGGGATGGGGGTGTCATGGGGAGGATGAGGGTGTGGAGGGGCAGATGGGGGAGTTGAGGGGAATTCGTGGGGGGATGGGGGTGTCATGGGGAGGATGAGGGTGTGGAGGGGCAGATGGGGGAGTTGAGGCCCTGCACAGGGAGGGGGGTAAAAGTTCTCCCAGTGGCATGGGCCACCTGCTGAGTTTGCAAAGACAGAGCTGGGGTGGGGGGCAGGGAGGTTTTATATTTCCCCTCTCCGGGCACTGCCTGTAACCAAAAGTTTCAGAGGAATAGCTGAGTTAGTCTGTAACTGAAAACACTTAAAAACGAGTAGTCCTGCAGCACAACCCACTTCTTCAGATGCTTCTGGGGGCTGTGTTCTTAAATGTGCTTAGGCAGTCACATGTGAGGTCTCATGAATGAAAAGAGACCTGGGGAGCAGAGACTGATCTAGTGCCTTCACCTGCTGGTTTCCCTGGGCTGTTCAATACAGAGTGACATCTAAGGAGGTTGTGCTGTGAACCAGTGAGTCAGACTGAGTGCAGCAACTGCCTACCATGTCGACTAATTGAATAATCAACAAAAAAAATTATCAACTATTTGATTAGGAAAGTAACCGCATTTTCACTTCGCTACATAGAAGACCTCCACATTTTAAAGTTAATATTCACTTTTATTCAATTACCAGATTGAATGTTTGATAATACTAACTCTCAGCACTAGGTGGCAGGAAAGTATTTAAATTGGAAAGAGCAGCTCAAACCCTGGTCCCAACATACACCCTTTACTGTAACAGGAATATATGTAAGGTTGAAGAGAAATGGATAACAGCTGGGAGACCTGATAGAAGGAGACTGGGGGAGAGGGACAAAGAATACATGACGAAGTGGGTCTTTG